GGGGGTAGGGTTTTGGACTGGGAGTAGTCTCTGGTGGACTACCATGGGAAGGTTCAGCTCTACCAAGATTGAAGTTTTGACTTTTGATAGACCTTTCTTTCTCAACAGGTTTGTCTAAGCTACCAGGATCAGAAGAAGGCTCTCTAAATCTACCCCCACCTGATTGAGCTCTCAGCCATTCCCCAAATTGCCAGGGTTTAAGCACTCCATTTTTTATGTCGTTTTTTTTACAGCTGCAACTCCTATCATCGTGACCAATCTGCCCACAATAGAAGCAGAAGGCTTGGAGGTTCTCATACCTGAAATGAACCCAGCGAGAGCTGGATCCCAAACTGATGTTGGCTCCCCGTAGAAGAGGTTCACGTAGGTCAATCTCCACCAGTACTTTGATCAATCTGCCATTGGCACTGCCTGTTTCAGGTTATGAACATCTATTACATTTCCAAGTAGTTTAGCAATCTTCAACCCAGTATCCTCTGATATCCAGTGTAGCGGTAAGTTCAGAATTTGCATTGAAAGTTGGACTTTATCGTGCTCAATCCAGCTACTGACTCCCGGTTTTCATTCTTGAAGGAGGATGTATTGTCCGTCAAAATTCCATGAGTTGCCATTAAGGATTTTTTGTTTGTCTTCTTCTTCCTGGAATACAAACTGGAATGTGTTATGCCTAATAATACGGATTGAGAAGGGTTTTTTTATTCTCCAGATACTGTTCAGAGTAGCTTTCAAATCCCCGAAATTGATTTTTTTCTCGCCGTACACTTTGCCCAGCAGACTAAACGAGCACTCATGAATCCCAGTTGTAATGTCATTTTCGGATAGGGCAATGCTTGCTTCTTCTTTGGAAGATAGGTCAAATTTTTGTAGCTGCGATATTAGATCCAGATCCATGGACGAGAGTCGAGATCCTTTATCCACACCAAAAGGACTGAACAATAGAACACTAGATCTGTGGGGACAGGTGAGACCAAGAGGCTCCTGTAAAACACATCAAACAAAGGTCGTGATTGAGTCTTAGACAAGTGAATTTAAATTTCAAACAGTAGGAACATTAACAATTAAAATGGCCCCTCCTTAGTATTGATTTCACAAGGGATGTTCAATATCTATTCTTACAGTTAGATGATTTCATAATTTAAAAATAACATAAATAAATAAGATATCTAATAGTGTAACTATACACGTATATTCTCTGGTTTAGTGGTTATCAAAACTTGATAGAAAAATTCACCAGTCATTTCTACGAAAAACTGTGTTGTTTGCCTTTAGATTACACCCACAACATTTACACTCATATAGATGTTTGTTGATTGAAACTCTCCAAATTTCAATGAGCGTAGTGACTTCACTCAGGCGCAGATTGACGAATAGGCGAGCTTAGGCAGCTGCACATGTTGAATTTTTATTGCTAAAGTTAAAGTATTATAATTTTCATAGAATTATTTATGAGGAAATGACAAATTTAAAGAACTTGTGCAGGCAATGAGATGGGATTTAAGGGGTTTTCCAGGCTATAAAGCAACATCGTTTTAGGCTTTGAATTACTAAATAAATAGACAGAAAAATATCATCATTTTCCAATAAGAAAAAATCAGATTATTTGCTACCCCTACAGACCACATTACGCACATGCTCAAGCAGAACGAAAAAACATAAATCTTTCCTCAAATTTCAAAATCGTTGGTCGCCTCATCTTCCATCTTCGACTTTTCGTGAATCATACCATACACAAAATCGAAAAGTAAGTCCCTTATGAAGGATAGGATTGCTTGGATGATTTGATTGAGAATTATTTGGGTTAAAGCTAATGTAAATGTTTTATGTGTTCAACTATTCAAGTATTCATATCACTTAAAATAAAATCAATTCTGCTTGTATTATAATCCATTTTTGTCCATTGCAAATGGAGCTGGAAGAGTCATTATTGACAATTCTCCTGACATAGTGCTAATAATGGACTAGATCAAAATGACTCAATTAAATTCTAGTGCTTCTTCTATTAATGAAGTTTCTAGAAAAAAAAAAATCAAATGGCGCAATGTACCTTGGGTCGCTACGGAAACAGCCTCCTTGTATAATTACAAGGGTAAGGTCTGTGTACAACTGACCCCCGAGACCCCAACCTGTTGGGAATATACTGGGTATGTTGTTGTTGTTGTTGTGTTGGTAGTACCTACCCATCATTGACCGTAAAGTTGTAATTTTTTTTTATTGAAGTGAATAATTTTAAAAAAAATTGTAAATATATGTCATTAATAAAAACTTATGTATCTGCAGTGACTTCACTAGTAGCTTCGTTTTCTCATTCCCACACGTTTTTGAATATATTTCACATGTAATTGTCACTTTTACAAAAGCATGCACGTAAATTTCCTTATATGTTTCACTATAACTTGTATACAATCCGTGTGATACATTGGGAAGACAACTTACCATATTTTTGTTAAATTCGTGGGTTAGAAGAATGACTAATCCCATGGATATCAATGTTCCAATTCCCTCTAATAATTATTCCTTTCTAAAATTATGCCAATCATGTGAATGTGATAAGGAATGAACGAGTAACTTACATTTTCATGGCATACAAATGTACCAATCTTGCTATGATTATTCGTTATTGGAGTTATTAAATTATTTTATAGTTGGACTTTACGCTTTGATCACTGGGCTTTGATTCATATGTTGTAAGCCATATTCATCCCGACCCATTTAGAATTGACATCGACCATTAATCCCACTATATAGGTTATAGCTAAAGCTTAGGCCCAACCGGTTGATTGACCCATTCCAGAAATTTCCTTGTACGCTAGCTGCAGGGTACAGAAGAGCAGTAAAGTGCGGGAGTTAGTGAGAAATATACACAACGACCATTTATATATTGATATTAGTCTTTTTTAAAAAAAAATAAATAAAATATACGTATTAATGTTTTTGATACGAAATTTAACATGTTATATTTTTTATTGGTTTACATTTTATGTATTTTTTATGTAGGTTAGAATATAATGTTTTTTAAAATTATAAGGCACTTAACCACTTCAACTATNTTATGATTATACTGCAAGTATGTAGTATGTTTACAAAGAGTATATGCAAGAGTGTTGTAGAAAAAGCAAGATATTTTTTATGCATATTTCATACATTATAAATCTTTACTATGTATCATTTTATTTGTATGAAAACAATGTTTAGAACTATACTATAAATCTTTATCATTTATTTCATTTTATTTGTATGAAAATGTAAGAGTTACTATCTATTGTTCGATAATTTAGTTCCTCTCCTTTAAAATGAGATATTTAAGATAAATGAATGCACAATTTTTTTTATCAATATAAATATTCAGTATATTAAATATATTTATAAGTCATAACGAGGAAAATAAGATAATTGATTGACAAAATATGTGATATAGCCATATTATCATATACCGGTTCTTGAACCCTATTCGACTAAGATAACAAACTCAGACCGTTCACAGGACGATATGTTCCCATCGACATACTCAAATCGACTTCCGTAAAGTCGACTCTACGCGGAACAACCGTGAAAAGGCGGAAATCTGGCCAGTCGACTCTCGCAGGTCGACCTCAGTCTGTCGACTTCCAACAGTCGACATCTGTATAACAAGAATAACAAGAGCGTAACCTCCGAACATTCAGATACTCTAAGTCGACTTTCAGCAGTCGACTTCACTAAGTCGATTTTCCGAAGACGACTTCCACTCGAGAAAACTAACCAAGTGCAGCCTCCGTATCCTCATATGATCATAAGTCGACCTCCTAGCTCTCGAGGCCGACTCTGTATACCTCGAAGACCAAAGATGTGATGACGACTCATCACACTTGCAACATACTCAAATCTCTACATCCTTCAAGGGATAAAGGAGAATCTTGTAGACCGTATATTTGAAAATTCGTATTATTGAATGTAGACCGTATATTTGAAAATTCATATTATTTTATTTATATTTAATGAGTAGAATGTTAGGATATCAAATACGATGTGTATCTCATGTGAGTATTGTTGTTTATTAATTATTATTTTTTTTGGTTTAAAATTTAATTGGTCTGTAAATATTGTGCTAATGTTAACATGGCTTGATTATTAGTTATTTTTTTTCTTTGTTTAAAATTTAATTGGTCTATTTTAATATATGTGTACTAAGTGGTGCCCTAATTTAAGTTTAAAAATTTTAGAATTGCATATATTAACAAGTTTTCAAGAATTTACTAGTGGAGATACTCCAGCCTTATCTAGATAGGATAGGATTAAGTTCCCATATAATAAGTTCCCTCAATACCTACTTGATGTCCTTAATCAACATCAAATTGACCCACCGTTAATTTTATCCACCATGTCATCTACTTTTTATTTTATTAATTTTTAGAAACTAATGTTTTCTTATAAATATATTTATATTTGTTGAATGATTTATTAACCGTTAAATCAACACATTAATCTTCAAATCTCATGCCTCAAAAAGCGTCCATTGCCCCAAAAGATTTTTCATGATTACCCCTCTCAGCAGTTGAGAAATTAAACTTCAATTTGAGCGGCTTTTGACTCATTGGGAGATTAGAAGATTAATTACATGTCATTAAGGGAAAGAACTTTAGTTGAGGTTTAAGTCAATTGTTTTGTGTATATCACTATAAAATCAAAATGACATACGCACAAATGCACTTTTTGGCAGATAAGTCAACACCCTCAATAATCTGGCACTTTTTTTTCTTTTCAATTCAATTAATGAAAGTGTAATTATGGAGACCCCAGTACACATTAATTGAGCTCATGTCCTTTTGTAATTCGAACCAATAATTTTAGATACAAGACAAAATACATTACAAGTTGAGAAGTGAAATATATTTGGGCTTGGATTTCGGATTGTTCAACATAAATTATTTTATTTGGCCACAAAAGTGTAATTATTGCAAA